TAAAGTTAAAAAGGAAAAAAAAAGAACGAGAAAGCCAAATAGTAAATTAAGTTTCTCAACACGAGAAAATTGTTACAGCGAGTTGCAACGTTTCAAATTCAAAGAATTAGTAAAATTTTTAGACATACCTCCTCTTAGAAAGTCGTCAAGTTGGTCTATACATAGCTGTTTTAGATCCTGATCAGGTTTGTCGTGCTTTAAAAGAGCAATGACATAGTCAGCCAAAACTTTGGGATCTGCATCGCAACTTTATTAACAAAATAAGGAAAAAAAAAAACTTTTTAGTAAACAAACTTGTGTTTAACCTCCTAAGTTGATCCTATTTAAAAAAGAATTTAACAAATAAGAAGCATTAACAAACAAACAAGGAGAGATCAGACATACATTGGTTCCAAGTGGTGGCTAAGGTATTTCTTTAAGGCTTTTGAAGATGTGTCGTCAAGAAACATGACTGAAAGTGTAAAGTTATATCTCAAGTTCACGAGGAGAAATCAAGATATTGTTAATTTAAGAGGCAAAAGTACGGTATCCGAAGGCCGGATGGATGGAAATAACAGATAATGTACTTGAGCTAAGGGAGTAAGAAGGCAAAAAATTTTCTTCTTAAAAAACTGGTTAACTTCTGCGGTTCACTTCCCAACTATAAAGCTGTTTGTTTATAGTGACTGAACTGATAAAGTGATAGTGATGTGAGGGATTGTCAAATCAAATGATTTAAATAAAATTATTTACAAAAATTATTCATTGATTAGCTGACGTGTCCGAGTGGTCCAAGGAGCCAGACTTAAGATCTGGTATGCGAAAGCATGCGTGGGTTCAAACCCCACCGTCAGCAATTGTTTAAAAGATAATTTTTTTTTTTTTTAAATAAAGTTTATTATATCTTAAATATATTTAATAATAAATTTTGAAATAAATTTTATTTTAATTATAGTTTAGTATATATTCTTATAAAAATTAATATTTTATTATTCTAAAAAAAACCTATTTATTTCTTTTTTTATATAAGTATTACTATTTGAAAATAGGTTTTAACAATTTTGTTTAGACAAATGGTTAAACAAAAAATTGAAAATTTTATATTAATAATATCTTAGTATTTATTAATATAATAAAATTTTTTTTTTCTTAAATAATAAAAATTTTTTTTTTATAATATAATTTGTTTTTAATTCACAAATTGATAGTAATCATTTTCTTTTTGATATTTTTTTCAAATAATTTATATAATGAAAAATTTGAATTTATAAAAGCTATTTTAATATAAAATTTTTACTAATATTAAGAAAAGTTATTTGTATATTAATAATAAATATTATTAATAACTATAATTGAAAATTACATTCTAAAACTTTCATTAAAAATAGCCTTTTGATTATAAATAATCTGTAGCAAAGCATTTTATTTTTATTGAATATATAATTGATAAATATAGATAAAGATAAAATCTTATAAATATTATGCAATAAATAATATAAATATAATATATATAAATCTAATAAAAATATTTTTATTTATATAATAAAAATATAATAAAATTTTAATTTTCTTCTTTTTCTTTTGATCAGTAATACTCTTGCTTATTTTCATTTTAATCATCTTGATACATCTTGAAATCCAAATTTTGTTACGAAATTTAGTGATTAAAAAATTAGAAATTTTGATCATAATTAAATTTAAATTCAAGGATAAAAAACTTTATTAAGAAATGTTACCTTTAGATAAAAGAACTCATAAGCTAGAATTTGTTTAAAGATCAAAGAGTTCAAATAATTAATGTTGAAAGAAATTATATTGAACACAGTAATTTTATTATTCTTCAATTTATCTATGATGATATTGTTAATGAGATCTTACACTAATTTAATAATAGATAAAATGATGTCTGTAGTAACTGAACAATTTCATAAATAGTAATAATCTTCCTTACTTGTATTATATTATATATAATACTATTTATTATAAAAATCAAAGCGTCTAACTTTTAATTTTGAATAATAAAAAGTTCATCTACAAGTGATTTGATTTTAAACATCTTTTTTTCTTTACACAAAGAAAATTGTATTGTCTTTATTAGAGAAAAGAAGCTTAAAAAATAGGTCAGTTTATTAAGGAAAATCTGATTTATATGACAAGTAAAAAATTCCTATTGAGATTTAAGAAAGCAGAAAACTGAATAATTGCATTCAAATATTTTTAAAATTTTCTCATTGATGATTTTAGAGGATGTTTTGAAAACAAAGATGAATTTATAAAATTTTAAATACTGTGTAGTCTAAAAAAGCAAAAAGCTTAGAATATTCTGTTTTAGCTAAGAAATCAGCTCTGTTATTATATAAATCTCCAGAGTATCCTTTAATTTTAATAAGTTAAACAGATAACTATAGCTCTTTTATAACATGATGAATCAACATTCAAATTGTATAATTGGGCATCTTCTCTCTTGTTTTAACAATAAAGTTTTTATTTATAATAATTTTATTAAAGCTATCAATCATAGTTTGACTATTTAAGAAAATGATAGATATGGATAGTAGAAGATAAATATTATAATTGAAATGAATGCGAATAATTTAGCTTTAATTAATAATAATAAATTAAGAAGAGAAGCCTATAAGAGATCAGAACATATCTAACTAAGACTCATTTTATAATTGACAGAGAAGAGATTTGTAATAATCCATCAGTATAGAATGAGAAAGTTGAATAATTGGTGAGATAAAATGATGACTTAATGAGCTTCTCTTGGTAAAAGTGATTTTTAACATAATTTTTTATAAGATTTTTATTTGCTATTTAACTGTTATCCAAAGAGTATTAAAGAATATGAATTATATTATTTGAATGCTGAGAAGTAATGTACTTAGATATTAATTTGCTATTGATCTGATAAGTATATGAAACTAAAATATTTTCAACTGTATATTTCATTATAAAATTTTTTTTGATAGAATAAATTTTAGTATAACAGTTCATAATAATAGCAGAACTAATATCATATACTTGAATACATGACATTGAAAGAGCATCATATAGTTTCTTATAAGTAGTAAAAATGTTTTTATTATTCAAGATACAACCACTGTAATACGTAATAGATTTATTATTGAGAAGAGTGTTTAGACCTGAATGGTATTTTACTTTAGTAAGATCTTATATTATGATTTTGTGTTACATTTCTAGCTTTTTAACTATCCTTTTTAGAATAATTCAATCTTTATAGACATTATAAATAGCTACATATTCTCTTCTTCACATATCATCTAATTTAATATCTAAATTAGTGATAATTATATAGCTATTATTAGTATTATTTAGCCTAAAATCAAGTTTCACATCTTTTCTATCTATACTATCTAGTACTAAATTTGTTATATATGAAAAAATATTTAGAGTGTTATATCCTTTGTTAGAGATATTGTTGTAAATTTTTCTACTATTTATTTTACTCCAGTTAAGTAAGAATTTTTTTTTTTATCTAAAAACTGATTCAAGAAAAAAGTTGTATTTATTTAAAATGTGATTATTTTTTTCTAGAATATTAAGTAGTATGACAGAGGCTAAAGGAACTGATTTTCTTTTGATGATATTAGTTAAAGATATCTAAGTGTTTAAAGACATATCAGTATTTTTATGTTTAAGCAAACTGATTATTGCTCTAATTAGATTATTATGTGATTTTTTGTCAAAAGATCTATTTTAATATGCTAGAAGAGAAATATACAAACAATTTTTGATTATAGTTGAAATAATCTTTTTTTATAATATAGAGAGGTGAAGTTAAACTGATACAAAAATAATATAAAAAGATTTCAATTGTTAAGTTCAAAAGACATTTAGATTGTAAAATATACTAACTTTAACTAAACAGTTAAGAAGAGACATAGTAAATAAGGATTTATGCTTAAATATTCTTCTAATAAATACTAAAATAATATAACATTTCTTAAAAGAGAGTGGAATAATCTGAAGGTGATATTCTAATAATAGGAAAAGTACTATATATTGAAGATATATATGATTTATTTGTCTATAAGAGGTTTAGATTTTAGAATTATTATATATGTTGTTTTATAAATTCATTATATATTCCTGATGGTTCAGCTATCTTATCATTTAAAAGTTAAGAGATAATTGATAACCATTTATCTATAGTAGGAAGTTACATCAGATTAACATACTAAGATTCTTTTATATCTTCTATAAGATAGTACTTGATTAGTTCATCTGCTAAAAAGAGAAATAGCAAGAAAATTAGGGCTATGACAGATATTAGCTGATATCTATTTATTATAGGAGGAACCACCTCCCCTCATGAGATAACTGATATATTACACGAGAGGTTATTATAAAATTATATTAAATTTTTGCATTACGTATTGTTCTACGCCTTTTATTTTTCTGCGCCTTTATCTTTTGTCTTCGTATACTGCGTTTTTCAGATACTACACCTTAATTTTTTGACTCGATCAATAAATCATTTAACAAAAAGTAAAAGAACAAAACTTTTTTTCATATATAGTATTTTATTTTAATTATATTAAATTTTCACGTTACAGCATTCTTCTGCACCTTTTATCTTTCTACGTCTTTTATCTTTTATTTTTTGTATACTGCGTCTTAATTTTTTTGACTCAATCAATAAATCGTTGAAACCGGTAGAAACTGACAGACCTGTCGAATATGACATATATGCTAAATATGCCAAATCTGCTAAATCTGCTAAATATTCCAAATAGAACACAAATATCATTTATTATATCTTTATTATATCTGTTGTTTATATCATTTATTATACAGTAGCGGTCATAAGTATCCGACCGCCTCTAACTCCGGCTACAAGTAAGTAAATTCAAAATTTTTTTTTT